GGCCTTCGTGGAGGAATTTTCTGAAGGCTTAGATTAGGTTTATTATGGCAAAGCACAGTAGGATGCCTTCATGTTGAACTTTCTTAGAGAAATTGACAACCCATACACGTTACACATACAGAAGAAAATTATGAAAACGTCCATGCAGCCAGGCCCGTTAGCCTTGATTCGAATCCAGGTCGAAACTACCAGTGTTCAGCGATTTAATTCCTCTACCGCGGGAGGGAGGGCCTAATTGCTGAAGGGAACTGGCTTGTATTCATGTTACACACGGTGAAAAAAACAAACAATGCAACCAGCTGATTTCGTCTGGCATCGAACCCAAACCAGTTCGAACTTCCAGTATTCAGTAGTTTTAACCACTCGGCCACTGGTGGCGTGTGGTAGGAGCCACAGATAATGTACTGAGTAGCAAAAATCCCTAATAGTGGCCCTGGTTATGGTTACTAGTAGGATTGTAAGTATATTGGTAATCATCCAATCTACAGCAAGGAAATTTCGGAGCTTAATTGTAAAGTCAAATGCGACACTGTAAACCTTGAATAAAAGTGAATGTTATCTGATGTAATCTGTAATATCTTTGCGTGTTATATACATAGTTTTTTTTTTTTTTTTTTTTCTTTCAAAGTTAGACAAGTTTACACAAACAATATAGGTCGAAAAGGGAGCTGGTCTGCGCCCGGTGAGCCTGTCGGCAGCGTCGCAAAGCGTAATTTGACTAACGAAAAGATCATGCTTTGGATCTGGTGATCTGGATAGTCACTTGTGTTGAAAAATAAATTTATTTCAACAACATAGGCCAAAAATTTAGTTGATCTGCGCCCGTGAGTCCGTCGGCAGCATCGTAAAGCGTAATTTGACTAACAAAAAGATCATTCTTTTGTATTTGGTGGGATTGCCGTGGTATTAATCACAAAATAGTATATGGAAAAAGGTAAAACCCTTGACAGTAAAGGATACAAACGAGATGCTAGTGCATGTTGACGCTGCTATCAAGGAAAAGAGTCGAATTGAGTTCCGGCGCAGAAAGGTAGAAAGGTAACGTTCCATCAAGATAATACCATACGTGTCTGCATTTACCGGTTGGCCTCTGGACGGACTCGAAAGGGATCTTTCACCACACCAACCATATAACCCTGACATCGCACTTTGGGACTTCTACATTTTTTCACACTTGCAGGCACATCTTGCTGGTCCTATCTTCCATTCTGCACAGGACGTCCGAAATGAGGTTGACCTGTTTTTGGACTCGGGCCACCAAGTATCCGAGCCGAAGCTTTTGAAAAACTACCAAAAAATTGGCAGAAAAGCATAGATTTTGGCTAGTGATTACCATCTGCACTAAAGGTACTAACTGCTTTTTTTTTTTTTTGCATAACTGAAGAACATTCGTACTTAAAATTTTCGTTACAACCATTGAGTTTTGTAATTTATGAATTCCTTCCCACTTCTCATGTATTTATCAGCTGTACTTTATCAACCTGATACTCCTACAATTATCAGCTGTACTTTATAAATCTGATATGTAGAAACGCAATTTGATTTTATGCATTTCAGTATCAAGTGAAATCTTGAAACTAATCGTTCATTATAACACTTTATGTAGTTTTGATTCAAAGTTGAACTCAGATAATGTGTCGTGGTTGAACTACCAGTAATCAGCGACTTTAGCGCTCGCCCGCTAGAATTTAGAGAGGAACTGAGTGCTAGAATTGGGTTAGGCTCTTTGAATATAGCAAAGCCACGAGGTGGCAGATAGCAGATGCTTTCGTGGAGGAAGTTTCTGAAGGCTTAGTTTAGTTTATAGGCAAAGCTCTAGGATGCCCGTGGTGGATACACGAAACTTACACACGGGGAAGATTATGAAAACGCCCATGTAGCCAGCCCGTTCGCCTTGATTCGAACCCAGGTCGGAACTACCAGTGTTCAGCGATTTAAACCGCTCGGCCGCGGGTGAGCCTAATTGCTGAAGGAAACTGGGTCGTATTCATGTTGCACAACAGGAAAACAAACCATGCAGCCAGCTGGTTCGCCTGGGATCGAACCGAAACCAGGTCGAACTTCCAGTAATCAATATTCTTAACCACTCAGTCACTGGCGGCGCGTGGCAGAAGTAAGAGCCACAGATATTGTAGTGAGCAGCAAAAACCTCTAATACTGGCTCTGGTTACTAGTAGAATTATATATTGGTAATCATCCAATCTACAGCAATGGAAATTTCGGAGCATAATTGTGAAGTCAGTTAAATACGACACTTCCGATAAACGTGATAATATATAAAGATGGAAAAATTTTTAAAAAAGGAAACTACTATGCAAATACATGTATTCATTAGTAAACATTTTATAAAATTTATTCTTAATTTAGCGTTTATGAATTCTCAGAGAATTATCTCATCGGAATTATTTTTTCCTCCTCTGGTAATCCAATATAATTGAGTTAAATTATGTGCTGTAATATCTTTGCCTGTTAATGTACATAGTTTTTTTTTTTTTTTTTTTTTTCCGTTCAAAGTTAGATAAAACTGAACGTACGTTACACTGAAATTACTTTGTCTAGAAAAGTAAGCGCTTGAGGTAGAAACATAGATGTTGGGTTTTATTTTTAGAAGACATGAGATCGCTTTCTGTAAAAGTAATGTTATAAAATTTTGAATTTGAAATAATCGTACTTCGTTTTTAGTAGCGCAGAATGATAAAGATTTAATGAGAATATAGCAAAGCATCTTTTTAGAGACGCTGTTATAATTTTGCTATTTTATTTTTTTATGGTAGGTCAAGGAAAAAGGCAGGCTGCTAAATACGGTAACAGCACATTACTCTGTTTCATATATAGCGAATCCGCTCTGAAATGAGGCACGAAGTGGTAAAGTAGCTGAACACCAGTATTTCGGTCCGAGTTTCGAATCCCGCGAAGGGACTGGTTGCGCTTTCGTGGTTTTACCCTGTGTAACGTGTCTAGGAGCCAATTTCCCTTAGAAAGTCTTCCACTAAGGCATCCTTTCCCTTAGGCAGATAGATCGTACCGGTGTTTATTTTATCAACAGTACTGGTTATTTTCAAAAATGATCATCCTAGAAAGGTGATTGCCAAAAAGTATTCACTTCGCATATTTATACGTTATGCATGAATATACTCTTTTTAGTCAATCTAATATATATAAATTACTAATGCTTTAAAACAAATTCAATTTTCAATATTCTGTTTCCTATTTGTTTCCTGTTCAATGAAACAGATTCATACACAGCAAATCCAAATGCATCGCTACAGGAAGATGATAAACCAGCACAGTACGTAATTACAGTTACATTCCGGAAAAGAGTAGATATAATATAAATACATAATATATATATACGGTATACAACGATATACAATATATATATATATTATCGTTTTTTAGGATGTATCTATAATATGTATCATTTTACTTTATTAAAATATAATATTCAATTTTGTAATTTAGGAATTTCTTCTCCCTTATCATGTATTATCAGCTTGTACTTTATAAACCTGATACTCCTTCAATTATCAGCTGTATTTTATAAACCTGAAACATAGAAACGCAATTTGATTTTATGCATTTCAGTATCAAGTGAAATATTTGAAAACTGATTGTTCATTATAACACTTTATGTATTTTCATTCAAAGCGGATCTCAGATAATGTGCCGCAAATTATTTCCACACTAAGTTTTTTGTGCAAATAATACGTCCTGCTAGTGTTTTTGTAATAAAATGCATGTTATTAATTGATTTCGAATTTTCGTTGCATCTTGATATTGCTGCCAAAAGATATTCAATCAACAATAGTATCTTTTACTACGTTTATGTGTGTGGATACATAGACCATTTCTCCGTGTACTAGAAAAATTTGATAATGATTTATCCACTTTTGAAGTAAAAAAATAATAATAGTTAGGAGTGTTATACGATTTTATAATACAAGTAAAAAATATATATAAAGCTCTGGAAAGTGCTAACACATATTTATGGAATATTATGGATGGTAATTTATGAAATATTATGGATGGATGAGTAAATGGAATATTATGTGCGTGCTATATATGTATACACATATCATCAAGTATAAAATCATTTATATATAATTTTTATGTCGCGATGAAATTTGTTTTCTTTTTCTTCGCAAAATAACGGCAAATTATGAAACATTACGCAACATTGAAAAGCGTGATGAACAAATTTTGCGAAAAGAAATAGCGACTGCTGCTGCACGTATCTCACAGATATCTTTCATTCAACACAAAGGTGAAAAGTTCTATTCCTGTTCAAAACATACCCTGCAGTCTGAGTCACAGACGGAAAGAAATGACAGCAGGTCTTTTGTTCAACTGAGGGATGTGTTTTATGGCTTACTCACTTTCCCGCCAAACAAGTACAGAGGAAGGAAGCATCGTTGCCATAGTAACCAGGCTGTAGGTAGTCTTACAGATTTGAGTCTTTATCGCTCAACGTTCGTAGCGCCATCTGTTATTAAAAATCGACATGAGAAAGGGGTATTAAACGCTCTTAAAAGTGCTGGTATTGTAGGGCTAGTCATTCTTATTGCAGTAGAAGATAGTTTACGTTTAGAACGTGATTCTTATAGGTATTCATTCAAGACATTAAGTTTTTATGTTTACCGTGTTTCAATGAAATCCATTAGTCCTGTAATGAATCAAAATTAAGTAAATTTTAAATAAATTTTCCGTGATTCCATAAAACAGTGTAAATTTTATACTTATATATCATGTTACACGCTGTCAGCCAGCGGCGGTCGATGCGGCCTAAACGGAAAGTCTTAGTGTCAGCCACAGATGGCTGACGTGGCACTCAACGTGTTAATTAATATGCTCCTCTTGGTACACACATGTATGACACATAAAAATAACATTCTTATTGGGTTCAAGATATTAAATTTTCTACATTATTTAATTACAAACATTTAAAAATGTTGTATTGCTTAAGAAAAGAGGAAATAAGCAAATTTGAGTAATCTAACAAATTAGCTATGCATAAAAATCTTACCTTGATAAAAAGCCAATCCAAACAGCTCTGTGTCCATTAAACCTAGATGTTTACTAGCTTCTTCAAAAACTTCTTGTCCTTTGCCTTTTGTCTATAAAAATTTATAAATATATTTTAAAAAGATAAAGAAAAAATAATAAATTTTCAATATTTTAACACAATTTTTTCTTCAATATACAATTTACATATTTTCCTTTTTTAACTGTTTGAAATGGATACATTTAATGCTCATCTCTATACACGAAATAAATAGCACAAAAATAACTGCAGATTTGATGAGCTAATAGATAGAAAATGATTGTATCCCAGTTTATTGCATTAATAGGAAATGGTTTAATAAAACTGTACCAAATTACTACAGATTACAGTAAATATAACACTGTTCTCAGAATACAAATTTCTAGCATTAACTGTTTGCAAGAATTCTGATTTAATCCCTGATAATTTTGCCAGTAATCTAGGGAGTAGCAGTTTCCCATTTTGGCCTCTATTTTAGCAAAGCAGACTTCTGGAAGATAATGAACAGCTACCTAGCTTTCTTGAAAAAAATTTTCTATTTTTAGTACTCTCATTTTTACTATACACCAGCACTTTTCAGTGATCCACTTCTACAAAATGTTTTCTTTAATGATATATGGTTTCAATGTATAGTAATTAAAAATATTTGCCCGTTTCTTTAATTCTCAGTAAGGTTACAAAAAAAAAAAAAAAAAAGTTTCCACTTTATTTGGCAAATTCCACAGATCCACTAAGGAAATAATAAATACAGAACACACTGAAGCAAATAGAATAAGAATAATATGGTGAATGTTAAGGGCATAGTTATAACACAGGTAGAAATTACTGTCAACTTCAACTATACCTTTCTGCCAATTGAAATTTCCAGCAGTGATTAACATACAAGTGCCAAATATATTATATTTCAAAACTCTTAGAAACAAAATTGCATGCCCGCGTCACATCACATACTTATATCTAAGAAATACTTACATCAACAACATAAAAAATTAACTCTTTGGTAAGGAACTGAACAGCAACATATTTCTTTCCTGGAGGCAGAGGGGCCCTACAGGTCGTCAAAGCCCTGTGAAAAGACTGGCGCATGGTACTAAGACATTTCTCCCCTTTCCACTGAAAAAAAAAATCAATTAATAAATTACACAGAATGATTCTTTATGTTTATTTATTTGAAATACATTTATTTTGAGGCAAAAACAGTTACATATAAAATTTATGATACATAAATAACTAATAATGCATATAACCAATAATGGTAATAACATTAGCATCTCACTATAACAGCCAGTTAAGATTTTTTTTTTAATTCTCAGCATAATTAAACACTTTATGTGCAGACAGTATTCAATTATTTAGATTGTAACAAAGCACATAAGTGCCATCTGCCTAAAGGAAGGGATGCCTTCATGGAGTACTTCCTCATGGCTTGTATTCATGTTCCATGGGAAAACCCATAAAAACTCATGCAGCTAATCTCTTCATGTAGATTTAAATGAAAGACACACTACAGTTTGTCAGTGGTTTTGCCAATTGCCTACTATGTATATAAGGGGGAGCTGTTAAAAATGATACCTCATCATAAAGATATAAAACCTTCATCAGAATTCCCTCAAAATATATGTGTAAAAATTCAAGCAGCCAATGTGTTCACCCAGATTTAAATGCGAGACAAGTACAAGGTGATCAACAGTGCTGCTACTTGGTTTCTATGTGTATAAATGTGTATAAACTGTCAAAAATTGTGCCCCATCATAAAGGTGTAAAGCCTTCACTAGAATTCCCCTCCTAACATGTTGGTACCTACACACTTAAGGTTTCTGCCTTGACAAACTGGTGGGAAATTTGTAAAGATAGCACTGTTCTGAAGAATTCATATTTGGATACAGCAATAACATCTTATGCATAAAATGGTTAGTAAAAAGAGCATCCATTTTGAAAACACGGAAGATAATTCCCTTACTATTTAAAAGCCAACCAACAGAAGTATTTATATATCAAAATGTGTAACACAATGCATTTTAAAGAACATGTGTCAATACTGAAAAATATCTACCATGATTAACAGTTATATCTACAATGGTTAAATTTAAAAATAAACTTCTAACTTTGTGAATTTTGCATGCAAGGGTATGACACTTTATATTTAATCAATTACAAGAATGTTTTCTTAATGATTAATTTGATTCAATGATAACCAATTAAAACATTAGAAAGTATATTTCATTACTCATAAAATCCTCCATTCACTGTGAAAAAGATGGGTTATCCATTTCAAGAAATTTTGTTACTGGTTGTCTAAAAATTAGTATCTATAGCCCACGTGAAAAAGTTAATGTTCAGTTTTACTACAATTTTACTCAAGTTTATTAGTGTCATACCAGACAACTAAGAAAATAAAGACCAAGAATTAATAAATAATTTTGCAAAAATTAAAGTAGCACATAAATTTTAATAAATTAGCATTATTTTTTAGCAATAGGCATTAAGTGACTTTTGCTTCTCAGATTTAGCACTTTCATTAGCCAGATACAATATTATCTTAGTTATCAAAAAAATAGAAAAAGATGGAAAGAGAAGTGGGAACTGAGAGAAAATGAAAGGAGAGAGGTCGGTAGGGCTCTTTAGCATATATATCTTCAACAAAAATTATACGTACAAAAATTTTTGTTGACTTAGTCTTTAATATAAATGTATATTTTAAGATTAGATAACATATACAGTGTCTCACAAAAGTGATGGGACACTTGTGCTTTACGAAAGGAAACTGTAGTAAAGTAAATTAAAAAAACATGTAAAAATTTTTTGTGGGTGTGTTTCATACTTAAATTTAGTAACAATTATTACATACCACACATACATTTTCTCAAAATATTAAAATGTGTAATTTAATAGAAAATACAATTGTTTAGTAACGGAGCAAAAAATGGCTCACTTCAAGTGATTGGATACTCACGTAAGTGATGGGGACACTTTACTTTTCCATCAAATATTTATCCAAAAAATTTTACTTCTTAAAAGGTTTTAATATTTTGCTGGATTTCCTTTCACTTTTAAAATGTGATTTAATCTTCTTGGAATGGATTCAACTAATTTTTTTGTGATTTCTGGAGTGATTTTACCCCATTCTTCTTGAAGCAATGATTTTAATTGTTGTTTTGCGAATTCTTGATTCCAATTCTTGCCAAATATTCTCTATGGGAGTTAATTGTGGAGCTTGTGGTGTTGTTTTTATTATTTCAGGACAGTTATACAGCAGCCAGAGTCTAACGTTCAAAGCAGTATGCTTGGGGTCATTGTCCTGGTAGAATTTAAAATCGTTATTAAGGGTCAATTTTCGTGCTGATGATTTCAAATTTTGATTTAAAATGTCAATATACTTGTACTGATGCATTATACTGTCAATAAAAACAAGATTACCAACTCTAGTGGATGACATACACCCCATACCATAACTCCTCCTCCATCATGTTTTACTGTTGCCACCAAGTTCTGTTTGCGAAATTCTTTCCTGGGTTTTCTCTAAACCAAGATTCTACCGTCAGAACCAAGTATATTAAATTTACTCTCACCAGCAACTATAACTTCATTCCAGTAATCAGAGTTCTTATTTATGTTGGATTTTGCGAAAGCCAGTCTGAGTTTTCTATTCTTTTCACTTACGAAGAATTTTTTCCTGGCTACTCTACCGTGATATCCAGCAGATCGAATTACTCTTCTAATAGTCTCAGGATTAACAATTATTCCATATAATGCTTGTAAATCAGCAGCAACTTTAGAAGCACTCATTCTTCGATTTTTTTAATATTTTGAACAATAATTCACTTTATTCCATCAGATAGCTTTGATGGTCGGCCAGGTCTCCTTTTATTCTGAATCATATGATTCTTTTTATATCGTTTAATGATATTGAAAACTGTTGAATGACTCATGTTAACTGTTTCAGCAGTTTCTCTAATAGATTTTTCACGTTCAATATGCAAATTAATAACTAATTTTCGAATTTCAGGCAAAGTTTCTTTTCGTTTAGAATTCATGACTGCACAGAGCTAAAAAACACAAAAATTCCAAAACAAACTGGAGAGAAAGACTGCAGATGATTTTATAAATTATTGCTAATTGCTTTTGAGTAAAAATAAAAACCCCAAAAAATATTTTTATTGTAGTACGTAGTAGTATCTAATGGTGTCCCATCACTTATGTGAGCCATTTTTTGCTCCGTTCTAAACAATTGTATTTTTATTAAATTATTATTTTAATATTTTGAGAAAATGTATGTTATGTCAAAATTGTTACTAAATTTAAGTATGAATCACACCCACAAAAAATTTTTACATGTTTTTTTAATTTATTTTGTTACAGTTTCCTTTTGTAAAGCACAAGTGTCCCATTACTTCTGTGAGACACTGTATGACAAAAAGGGCTCATCTTTTTTTTTTTCTTGTTGCAAATGTTGAAACAATTCATACTTGTAAGCTAAGCAAATCATGGTGTATTATTAATTTCTTTTTGTATATTTGCCTATTATACTATGTATCTGTGAATCAATAACTTACTTAACCAGTTATTTATTCATTCCTTAAAAATCATTAATATTAATAAAAAAAATACTTAAAGAAGAAAAAATCTGAAAAGTTTCAGATTTTAGCGGTTGCCCAAAAGGGTTTTTAAATTTTTTTATGTTCTCACTGAGCTCGCAATCTACTTAGTCTGCTCTTGCACTCACGCCTGCTAACCCATTTGTCTTGCCTTTTTAGCTTCACTATAAAGCATCATTTCTTTCATACTTATGCCATATACAATTCAACAGCAAAATCACAAAATTTTTATTTAATTTAACAAAATTTAGAATTCTTGATGCAGTGTTAAGTGTTGACATACATTTTTATATTTTTTAACTCTTTTCTCAGTCTTCATATGTGTTCAATTTTCTTAGTGACATGGCTAGAAAATATTTTTTCTTTTTATTAGTAACATTTTGTGCATTACTTTTTTTTTATTAAATATCACAATCTTCACACTTACACCAAATTAATTTCAATTCACAGTAACATCACCAGATATTTAAAAACAGTATATCTTAAGAATTTTCAATAGACAGTCTAGCGTGCTGGAGATAAAAATTTTTTTATTGCAAATAGTTTTTGTTTCTGCTCGCTTTCAAATCTTTGAGTCTGTTCATCAAAACTAAAGTTTTACAAAATATGAACTATATAATAAAACAATGCGAAATTCAAAATCTGGGCTTCTAGATCCACATGTTTATGTTGAAGACCAAGCTATTCAAAATTTTATGGCTCTATGTACAATTGTTTCTTTCATACTACGAATATAATTCCTGCTTCATCTTTTAATTTCTTTAAAAATAATACATGGTGATAATATTTGGTGGCAACAATTTGAAAAGTGATATGCCATTTATAGAGATTCAATGCAATCCAATTTTGAGACTAACAGTCCATTTGAGCTAAAGCCCCTTTTTGGGCTAATAAAGTAGTAAATAATAAAAAAAAAGGATCTTTAAAAAAAACTGAAAATATTCAAATTTAATATTATACACAAAGAGGCTTTTTTTTTTTTTTTTTTTTTTTTTTTTAATGTTTTGTGTCTCACCTTTAATTTACTAAATATCATGTTTTTTGCACTTAAACCATAGAATTCAGTTCAACAGCAATGTTGCAAAATAATTTTAAAATAAGCATATCTCTCGAATTTCCAAAACACAGTTCCGCACACTGGAGATAAAAAGTTTTTTTTTTTTTTTTTTGGCTCTACTCTTATATGCACCCTAAGATCACCAAATGTGTCGATATGTGCTCTGTGTTGGTTTTTGGCGTGATTCCATGCTATGGATTGGTTTGTTGGACGATGCTGTTTGTATGGCAACCATTTTGACGTTGAAACTTAACTCTTTTGTTGCAATGGTTTAATTGCTCATTGGTTCGTGCTTTGAATGTTGCAATGAGAAACATGGCGGCAAGATTTCAGCCACATATTTTAGATTGTGTACAAAGTAAATTTAGTATTAAAAGGTACGATGTTGGAGTTGTTAACAAGTCTTTTGTTCACGGGTGTGTTTATGCAGATAGAAGTGCATTTTTGGAATTTCTGTGAGA